CCAAAAAAGAAACTTTACAAATTCTATAACATTAATTTCCATAATTTTAAATTACATAATTTATGAATTCCTTTGTACTTTTAAATTTCCTCATCCAAAGTTAATTTTCAGTTCAAAAATTATTATCATGGAATTTCAAAAGTTTTGTGAAAACACCAAAAACCTCAAGGAGTGTCAATATAAATAACTCTTTCATAAACTCAATTCATAATTATATTTATTCTCAAATTAAGAAGATACTGAGATACCATCTATAGTTGCAAGAATTGAAGTGGGAATTCAACAGTAAGAAATAATTCGAATAATTCTAGATGTAAAGCCACAATTTCAAAGCAACAAATATGGTAGCAGATCATTTAGTCGTTTATTTTTACGTCCTTCTTTGTATTTGGTTTAGTGATTATCCTAATTTAGTTGTTTCGTTTACGTTTTGACTTTTTTTAATCTTAAGATCCGAAGAGGATCTTCCTTGTAATTGTTGTACACGTTGTGTATGGAGAGAGTCACAGGCGGGTGATGCAATGCAACGACGGGATTACGATAATGAAGGGTGAGAAGTGGAGAAAAGGCACGTGCGGCCGTCCACGCAAGCAATATGGAGAAAGAAATTGAAAGGAAGGTCGAGGAGATTCTTCTTTCTGTCTGTGTCCCTATCCACTGAGAAATGAGGGTCAAAATGCTCGTTGTTGGTTGGATAACACAACACTCCTTCGACGAGGGGGAGGATGCAAAAGCCCAAACCAAAGTTTTCCTCCTACTCGTCTTCTCGCACGCCTTCCTTGACTAGGACCCTTTCCTTTTTCTATTTTTACTTTTATTTCTCTTTTTTTGTTTCCTTAAAACTTTAGAGACCGAGTCATTGAGGTGCTGGCAAACGTTGTTTTTTTTTTCGTTTTGGGCTTTCAAAAAACCCAAAGGTTTACTGCTATGCACAAACAAACATAGCCTCAGAGCAAGTCCAGCAGCTAAGGCTGGACTCGGGCTAGGGGGGTTAGGGCCAAAAAATCGAATCCAGCAACAAAGGCTAGCTCGAGGGCGAGGTGGGGGCCACGAAGTAGGGCTGGCCCGAGGGCAGGTTCAGCCTGAGATCCAAACGAGGGGGCTGACGTCAGCAACAAAAAAAATTTAAAACAAATCGAAACAAATCGAAAAAAAAAACAAAAATATTCAGATTTTTAAAAAATAAATACTTAGTCATATTTTTCACTTCCCACACCAAAAATCTTTTTAAAAAATATTGTCCAAATTAATTGTTTAGGTAAACATAAACAAATATGTGAAAAAAACAAAAAAATAAATAGTGTTTGTCCTAAACTAGGGCAACTGCTGGAAACCAACATTGCTTTTTGCAAGGGCAGCCGCTATTCACGTGAATAGTGGCTGCCCTAGCCGCCCCCCCCTCCTCGCCATGGCAAGAGGCAACTGCTGGAAATGCTCTAATGCCTGTGCAGGAGACAACAAGCAAGGGGAAAGAATGGTCATGCACCACTGGATTTTTATTTTGAATACAAATAACCAGGAAAGGCCGGATAACCATAATTAACTCTTTACTTTGTATTTATGGAACCATGTTTATGTCAATGAATACGTGTCAAATGTTGAAAAGGGTGGTGATGGTACACCTTGAGTTAAAGTGGTGAGCAAAAATGCTCACTTAGTTGTCGGCTTCTCACGTTCGTTTGCAGGCTAATGTTCTCGAGGGCTTTGTGCTAAAACAAGACATGTATACTAATTTCATGGAGTTTTGGCCCATAAGTTCTCATTTCATGGAGTTCTGGCCCAATTGGTAAAACTAGACTTGTATACTAATTGTTAAGAGCCCATGAGTTAAAAAAATGTCCAATAAAAAATCGGCTTATAAGGAAAGAGTGCCTAGGAGCTCATATTACTACCCCGATATATGTTGTCGTGATGTTTTGGATCCTTACATTTTGCATTTGCAGGCCATTTTAACAGATATGGGCCTTGCACACGTCATTTAACATAAAGGCCTTTTCATTCGTTGTGGGCTTCTCTCTTTCATTTCTTGGCCCATAATGATGTGAAGTTTGTTTCCATTGTGGGCTTCGGCCCACAACTTAAAGAGAAAAAAACAAAAAGAGACTGATTTTCTTTTCTCCCGTGTTCCTGAAACTACGGAAATATATTGACTCCAATTTCAACGAAAGAGACGATTTAGGTTGCTTTCAAATCGTAATCTGTACTTTCCGAAGAAAAAGACAAAAAGCAAATCGCCAGATCACCAGATCACCGGCCCATCTGCACCGTAGGAAAACTAACCGTTATAGGCTGAACTTTTCATCCAACGGCCATAAAACCCGCGCAGTAAACAAACCGCGTTTCGCCCTGAGTTGGTAACACGTTTTCTAAACCGACCCTCTCTGTCATCAGAAGAAAAGCTCCACCGTCCAAGTCCCTTAAATTTCGCCACAAACACGATTTTAATAATCCAACGGCGATCCCTCAGCCAAGTCTACTCACCATATCCCTCTATAAAAGGCCCCTCTCCCTGCTCTCCTTAAACCCACATCCTTCTCCTCTCTGCCTCTCTGCCTCTCACAAACCCTCACACACTCTCTCCCTTTCTCTTCGTGCGAATTTTCTCTTTTCTCTCTCTCTACAATGGCCAGATTCAGCAGCGTCGTTTTGGTGCTAATGGCTTCTCTCTTGTTGGCCTCAACAAGGGCGCAATCCCCTACATCGTCACCGGCCAAGTCCCCTGCGCATTCTCCCAAAAAAGCCGCTGCTCCTTCTCCATCGAGCACTCCACCCAAGGCTTCACCTTCTCCTTTGAGCACTCCACCGTCGGCTGCTCCTTCTCAGTCTTCCGTCCCCGACTCCCGCTTCCCCTGTATCTCCAGCGATCCCTCCATCTTCAGTCTCTACACCGCCCTCTGAGGCTCCCGCACCTGCCAGCAACGGTGCCGTTTTGAATAGATTCTCCGCCGCCGGATCTGTGGCCGTTGGGATTTTCGCTGCTGTCTTGGTTATGTAGAATGGGGGGGTTTATGGGTTTTTTCACAATTATCCATTTAATATTTGTATCAATTTAATTCTATTTATTAATTTAATTTAATTTAAATTTGTAGCGCAGACATATTTGTTTTCTTAATTATTTTTTTCGATGATCTTGATTATTCTCAAGTTAACCCAGCATTGGGTCCAGAATTACAAACCCTAAACAACAACTATTGCCACCTCACACTGGGCTGAGCTAGTTGCGTTGAAGTTGAACCTAAAAATTGTTCTTTCATTAAACTCAAATCGTCAAATGAGATAGCTTCGACATTAAATATTTAATCAGACTTGAGTTTAAATTAAAATTTGCTCTTTTCTTTTCTCTTTTACAGTTCCGTCCTCCTGGTCCTGTGGACAGCTTGTTTCTTGGTCACTTGCCGTTGGATTAAATCACACGATGGACAACACTGTTAACAACAAACTCATTTTTATTTTATTTTTTGTAATTCTTTCGGTAAATGATTTTTAAAGTATACAATAGATAAAGCCACCCGTACAAACTGTTACAACTACTTTCAACCTGGTCCCTAGCGTCACCCGGGTTTGGTGGGTTTGTTCACGCTGGTCCCTAGAGTCATCCGGGTTTGATGGGTTTGATTCACATAGGAGAATCTTGAGAAAACCCAATATATTAATCCCCTCCCTCTCTAGCAAACGACAAAAAAAAAAACAAAAACAAAAAATACATTAGTTGGCAAACGACAAAAAAAAATACATTAGTTGAGTTTATATGTGAAATAACTTGTTTTGAATAACTTAGGGCACGTTTGGTATCTACTCAAAAAAATTAAACTAAAAAACTATGGATTTTTTTTATTTTTAACAGAATTAAAAAACTATGATTCTTTCTAAAAATATGAGTGTTCAAATACTGAATTTAAATTATTTTTTACGATCTAAAAGAAATTGAAATTGAAATTAAAATAAGAAACCTTAGATTCCCAAATTGAAATTAACAAAAGAAAAAGAAAAATCTGTGTGACCCTAAAAACCTAAAACATGAAAAAAGATTTATCAATTTTGGTTGGGGTCGGGTCAGACCAAGGAGGTAGTGGACGAAGGAGATCTTCACGGAGCTGCAAACGACGACGTCGACTCAAAACCACCAACCGATGAGAGAGAGAGAGAGTCTAAAACCTCACTTTTTTTGTTTTCAATAATGGGTGGGTGTTTTGAGTTTTATGGGTTTGAGTTTAAAAAAGAGAGAGTCTAAAACCTCACTTCTTTTGTTTTCAATAATGGGGGGTGTTTTGAGTTTTTTGGGTTTGAGTTTAAAAAAAAGGCATACCAAATGAGTTTTTTAAGCTTTAAAGTTAAATATGTTTTTGAGTTTATAAAATTGAATTCAAGAAGGAGCATTCCAAAACAGTCATCTTATATTGCTCCATTAGAAAAATATAAGAGAAAATTTGCATATAAAGTGCAAAATGATGTTTTTTCGGAGCTGCCAATCACAACTCTTTAAAATAAAGCAACCCTTTCCAACCTGTTCCTCAACTGCAAGAGGAGGATCCGTTGGCATAAAGCCACTATTGCACTGGGAAAAAAGAAAACACAAAAAGAAACACAATCAACCAAACTTGCCATCTGCACCGTAGGAAAACTAACCGTTAGAGACTCAACCTTTGCATCCAACGGCTACAAAACAAGGTCAATACACAAACCGCGTTTCGCCTGAGTTGGTAACACGTTCTCCAACCCGACCTTCTCTCAAAAAGCTAAAATCTCTACCGTCCAAATAAGCTCCTAATAATCCAACGGTCCATTCCCCATCCAAGTGTCCTCCCCTTCCCTCTATAAATTGCCCTCTCCCTGCTCTCCTTAAACCCATCCATCGCCTCTCTGCCTATCAACCCTTACTCTCTCTCTTTTTGCCAACTTTCTCTCTCTCTCTCTCTCTCTCTCTCTCTCTCTCTCAGCCTCTCAACCCTCTCTCTTTTTGCCAACTCTCTCTCTCTCTCTCTATATATATATATACAACAATGGCCAGATTCAGCAGCGTCGTTTTGGTGCTAATGGCTTCTCTCTTGTTGGCCTCAACAAGGGCACAATCCCCTACTTCACCCTCTAATGCTACCGCACCGCCCCCTGAATCTCCAAAGAACCCTCCACCTTCCCCCTCTAATGCTACCGCACCACCCTCTAATGCTACCACAAATGCCACCAACGGCGCCGTTTTGAATAGATTCTCCGCCGCCGGATCTGTGGCCGTTGGGTTTTTCGCTGCTGTCTTGGTTATGTAGAGTGGGTTTTTAATTATGAGTATTTTTAGTGAGTGTTTATGGATTTTGTTGTAAATGCATGAGTTGGTGGATGACCACCATACCTCTTAGCATTCACCATTTTTAATTTTATGTAACCTATACACTAAATACCATAGTTATGTGCTTGTAACTTATGAGTTGTTAATGTCTTATTACCATTGTAAGCCTATAAATAAGAGGTCTTATCAAGATGAGAAATATAAGTTAATTGAACAATTTCTATTATCTTTCTCTACTTTCCAATTCTCTCTACAATTTCTCCTTAGTTATATAATACGTTATCAGCACGAATTCTCTTCCAAAATGCAGCTAAGTGCCTCAATTAAATCCCTCCGCTCAAGGACGGACCCAGGAATCTTATATCATAGGGTCATAATGTAAAGATTTGGTGGGGGGGAGGGTTAAAGGTTGGGGG